CACCCCCTAGATGTTGAGATGACCTGGGCCAGGTCCACATGAAGCCCCCTCTATGATAAGCACCCTACCTGTTGGATCATCGGGCCCATCCTAATGACCTTCACAGTAGCCCCTTGACCATCACAAGCGTTACACGTGGTCACCGGAACGTCCTTATCGACGACCACTCGATTGATCATCAGCTTTCGAGTAGCACCAGTGTACAGTTGCTTCAACGGCACCTCCAAAATGTGCTGAACGTCATCACCTCTACGACGACCTCCTCCTCCTCTTCTGCCGCCTCCACCAAACATCATATCAAAAATGTCAGTCGCATGCGCCATACCACCTAAACCCGAACTTCCGCGAAATACAAGGGGGTGACCCCATGGTCCTACCATCAGAGTCGACACCCTCCTCGCCAAACTGATCGTATCTTCTTCGTTTCTCATCGTCGCTCAGAATCTCATAAGCCTTGGTGATCAGCTTGAACTCCTCCTCATCGCCGCCCTTATCAGGATGATGCTGCATCGCCAACTTGCGATATCTAAGGTTCAAACGAGTCATCGACAGATAAAAAGATACGCCCAAACTCACGCCTTCTTAATATCAGCTGTAGAAGCACCTTTCCCCACACCCAAGACGTCATAGAGCTTCTGCGTATCGGCATTTTTGGAAGGACCTCGACCACCGAAATCTTCCCCGAACATTCCTCCATTTCCGAAAAACATCGTATACGAGTGCTTCCGGTTGGAATAACAGAACTATCACAAGCAGTCATCACAAAAGAAGCCCACTATTGACCCACAACACAACACGAGCGGAGCGGAGCGAAGCGGGTATTTGTTTTTTACTGCCACTCTTTAGGAGTAGCACTATGGAGCTGTTTTGAATGATGATAGTAGTAGTATTGATACAGGAAGACCCCGCTACAGGGCTCCCCATAATAACGATGAGCAACATCTCAGCGACAGCGACAGTGTTGTGACAAGTGTATTAGACTTCGTCACAGTGAGCAGAGTAAAAGAGTGGAATCGCAAGGATCGCTCAGGGGCATCCTTAGCGACCTCCAAAAATATCCTACAAGTTACTCTGCTATCAAACGTTCTATCAAGTCGTTACTGTTGAGCACACTGGACCCTCTGAGCACCACCAGGCATGGACCCTTCCTCATCCTCCTCATAGGCTTCATTAGATTTGTCGAAACCAGCGGTAGCAGCAGCGCTCTCCTTAGGGTTCATATCGACCAACTCATGGTGCTCATACGTCTCTTCCATCTCATCTGTGATGATGGGGGCGTCGGTGGGGGCGGGGAGGACCTCCTGGAGGATCTCACAGGCGTCGGGCGTGAGGGACTCGGGGAAAACTATGTCCAATATGAGGAAAAGGTTACCACAGAGGAAGGGGTTCTGATGAGTAGGCATGCCCTCGCCCTTGATACACTTCAGATAATGCTTCTCCGAACTCAGGTCGATAGGCTTGATAATGTCACCAGGCTTAGACCGTACGATAAGCTTGCGACCGTCCATATGGGTGATAACAGCAGTATACCCAGTAAGAGCTTCTACCAAGCTGATGGGCTTCCTGATGAACAGATCGTTGCCCTTCCGAGTGAACTCAGTGTCGTCATGTTCCTTCTGTTTAAGGATGATGATGAGGTCGCCGGGCTCGACATCGGGGCTGCTCTCATCGGCCATTCCCCGGAAGGGTATCCGCTGACCGGACTTCATGCCCTTCTCGATGTGAATCTCGATGACCTCCTTGGACTTCTTAGTCTTGAAACTGCGACCTTGACCGTGACACTGTTGACAAGCAGACTGCATCTGTTGGACCATGGGACCCATCCGGACGGTTTTGATGGTGACACCCTGACCATCACAGGCATTGCAAGTGGTGATTGGTGAGGACCGGTCGATAACGACCCTGTTGATGGCGAGCTTGCGAGTGGCACCGTTATAGAACTGGGCTAAGGGGACTTCCAATACATGGGAGATATCCTCCCCTTTTCGAGGGCCAGTGGAGCGACCGCGGCCACCCCCAAAGACCATGTCGAAGATATCCTCGGCGTTACCGGGGCCCATACCTGAATGAATAACATATGGTAGCGACTCGGACCTGTTTTGAATCTTACCATCCTGGTCTACACCTTCCTCGCCGAACTTGTCATATCGCGACCGCTTCTGCTCGTCGCTGAGGACCTCATAAGCTCGGGTGAGCTCCTTGAACTTCTCAGATCACCTCCCTTGTCGGGATGTTCTTTCAGCGCGAGCTTCCGGTACCTTAAAAATGGACCCTTGAGCCAGACGAATCTTCTACCACTATGGAGGGCTAGTAGCAACCCTAAATACACCCCTCCTCCCCGTCAATGATACTTACGCCTTCTTA